TTTCAAAAAAAAAAAAAAAAAAAGATTTATGAAGGGCTCCTGGTGGGAGAGATGGAAGATGTGGAGCCCCTGACCCCACTCTTCTTCTTCAAATGTCATGAGTGAAAGGCCTTTCTTTTCCCTCTTAAAATGTCTTGGCTTTCCACACCTGAGACATCTGTTTTCCCTTCTCCCCCTCCCTGTTCCCTGACTCAGGTTTCATCCCTTTGCCTCCTGTATAGTTTGGCAGGCAGGTACTCAGAAGGTTTACACGTTCTATTTCCCTGGGCTCCCTGTTGAACAGTTCCCTGTTGGAGGATAAACAGCGTCATTTTTGCTTTTTGCTTTTGCCTTTCCTCATTCCTCTGTACACATACCTTTTGGGCCTCTTAAAAGTTCCTCTATGGGACAATTTATCCAATTTTCTGTCTTTTGTAATTTCTTTGCAATGTCTGGCCAACTATTGGTGACAAAGTGGAGCTTTAACATCGTTTGTCCCAGTGGGTACTCTATGTCCTATATGAAAATCCGTATTTTCTTATCTGTTCCTTACGTCTGTTTAAGAATTCCATGGGCCCTTCATCTTTCTCTCGGTGTACATTAAATGCGCGGGAAATCATTTGGGTTGGAGGAACTGATTCCCGATTCCCTTTAATTATCGTATCTCTGAGATCTCTCATGTTTTCTTGGTGGGCTGCACTGTTGTTATCCCATTGAGGGTCCTGGGACGGGAATTTATGCTTGGCTGCAAGGTCATTTGGACCAGGGGGGTGCTTATGCTCCCCAAATATCATAGCGGCCCTGTGGATCACGTTTCTTTTCTTTCCTGAGAATACCTAGAATAGACATTAATTCAGCCCAAGTGTAAAGCTGTGGCCCCAGAAATTGGTCAATTTGATGTTCAACTCCCAAAGGGTTATCTAACAGTGGTTTGAGTTGCTTTTTTAGATTTCTAACCTCTGAACAAGTTAAGGGGACATTTATGAAGCCAACATCTCCTCCTCCTAATGGCGCTTCCCTTAAAGGAAAAGGGGCTAGGGCAGACTTGGAGGAAGAGGGGAAAGTTAAGTTTTAATATCCCTTCAGCATCGTTCTATTTCCCACTGGAGCTTTCCTGAGGAAGGGGCATATTCAGGTTGCTGTCCAGGGAGGGTGTGGGTGTCAAGGCCCATGGGGCAGAGTTATATGGGGGAGGGACTGACGGTTCAGCTTGGGACAGTGGGGTAGGTGGAGGAAGGGCTGAGTGTTTAGCTTGGGGCGCAGGGGTACAAGGCGTAGGCGAGGGAAGGCGGCCTAGAGGATCCGGCCTAGAGGATCCTAGGGGATCTAGCTAGATCGTCTTTGGGGGTTTTGAGTTTGACTGCTTTTTCGTCTTTTAGGGGATACAGAAGGACAGGTCCTTGCCTCCAGCATAGAGCATAACTTATCTCCTCTTGAGAAAGTGGACTTTTATCATTGACATACTGGATCAGGAGTTGGCATATCCAGTCCTCGCCGACCCAAACTTTGGCCAAAAGACCGAAGGTCTGAGGATGGGTTCCTTAGTCCAAATGAAACAGCAATTCTTCATCATCTGCTGTCTTTTCTAGTGTTTGGTCCTTTAATTATCCTTCCAGTATTTTAACATAAGGCCTAGGGGACTGTCAGGGGTAATTTTATTGTCTGCTTGGCCTTTTTATAGTCCCTGTCTTATTTGGAGTATTTCCCATCCTGGAGGTTGGTGACGTTCAATCTCTGGTATTCGATTTCTTGCATTCCCGTATCCTAGAGGCTTAAACTCCCCTTTTCTCACTGGAGGTTTTTTGCACTCTTGTGAACACTCACTTCTTCCTTATTGGCCGCTTCCTTCCAGGGAATTTTAGGCCCCCCTCAGCATTGGCCGGTCAGTATAATCCCCCCTCCACCCGCCGCCGTAAGAAGCGGCCACGGAACAAAGTCCGGACTCCGAACTCGCTTCCCGCCCAATCGCGCGTCTCACTCACACACTTTCCACCTCCAGAGACCTCGACCACCAAGGAATACCTTGTTGCCCCAACCGCGACGTTTCTTACCTTGGTCTGTGCACAGTTACCTGGTCGCGGTGGAATTCTTCAAGATCCTCCCTACTGCCCACGTGGCTGAGAGTCCGGATTTATCATCACTTCGGGCGGGACTCTGTCCTCCCCTCCTGGGGCCACCACAAGGAGGCAGTGGGACACGTCTCCCCAGGACAGATCATCGCTAGCCCCTCCCGAGGGAGAATGGGATCCCGGACGAACCCCCAGATGTGTCGGAAACGAGCGCTCGGGGTAACCAAAAGAAACCCGCACTTAGAAAAATTCTCAGCAAGGTACCGTGACTTGTGCAGAAGGGTGCCGCCGGCCTCCGACAGTCGCAGGCGCACGCGGAACAAAGCGGAGAAGGCGTTTTCGATCCGCACGCAGTTCCTGTTTCTGTGTCCTTCCCCTATTGGCTGCGGTTGGACCACACAATCTAAGCTGACCCCGATTGGCTAAGGCCTAGACTTTTCCAAACGGGGTAAACCCGCGATTTGCGAAAAACAGACGAGGCGGGGGTAGGATTCATTTACAACTTAGGACCAGAAAGTTGAGTCTTTAAGAGGAATTTAGTTGTCCCAACAGAAGGGACCCTGTTGTGGAACGGGACGGCGAAGATACCTTGCCCCTTTAAGTTCCGGGCGCCCCGGGTACTTCCCCTACTTCGTCTTCTGGGAAAAGCCCCGCCCATCTGCCCGAAGCCGGAGCCCCTCGGCTCCCTCTGAAAAAATTTGTGGGCGGGGTGAAGGCGAGCTGGCACCAGCGCAGTGAAATTCCCAGAGCCCTTTAGTCCCCGCCCATTCCCTCCGTGGGGGTGGAGAGAACACGCAGGCGCAAATACCCTCCCAGGGCCCCAGCGGAAGCCACTCCCTCCCCTAAGTCTTAAAGGGCCAGAGGCAGCATTTTACTGCTCGGGCCGTTCCTCACTTTTGGGGGGCGGGGGTGCGCACGCGCAGTGAGGGAGTTCTGGGGTGGGGGTAGCGGTCGAGTATCAAGTTGCTTTCTGTCCCGGTCCAGGAAACCCGAGTGCTGAGGGTCCAGTCTCCAGCCTGCCTCCCACTATATCCATAAGAAGAGAAAAGTTTGTGACTTGGGTCCCCAAGTTTTGAGAGAACTGGGCTTTCGGCGCGGGGGGACACAAGAGGCTCGTGGGGAGGTGAGTGGATCTCCAGGATCGATTTGGGAGGTTCGGGTGCGACTGGGACGAATCGCATCGTTGTTGAGCCCTCACTCATTATGGGGACCCTCCCCAGTAACCATAGCGAATGTTTATTGAGCTCTGCCCTTAGCAGACCACCCCGATAAGCTATGTACAGACATGATTCGTTGTAGGCCTCATTTCCACATTTTGTCGAGGAGGAAACTGAGGCTCAAAGGTTAAGTCACGTGCCCAAGTTCTCATGGCCTATAAATTGAGGGATTCGAACCCAGACAGCTGACCCCAGAGCCCGGGCTTTTAAACATTGCACATTGCAGGTTCTTTGGTGGTGGGAAAGGGTAGACCTCGAAAGCAGTTGGACTCTGGTTTTCGTTTCCCTGGCTCTGGTAATTAACCTTGACCTCAGTTTACCCACCCTCACAGTGCAAGGCTGGGTGTGCAGTCAGTGCCTACTTTATTATAGCTGTTGATAATTATCGCCATCTCTCTCCTGATGGCACCTCCGCCAGCTTTCCCCATGGAGCCCACCCAGCCTGCGGAGGACCTCATCCTGACCCAGCAGCCCCCTGCCTCGGAACTTGGGGACCCTGAAGACCCCGGAGAGGAGGCCGCAGATGGCTCAGACACTGTGGTGCTCAGTCTCTTCCCCTGCACCCCCGAGCCTGTGAATCCTGAACCAGATGCCAGCGTTTCTTCTCCGCAGGGTAGGATACTTCCTCTGGGATTGGCCCTCTGGGATTCCATGTTAGGCCCACAAAAAGACAGAGTTTCACTTCTGTTGCCCAGGCTGGAGTGCAATGGCATGATCTCAGCTCACTGCAACCTCTGCCTCCCAGGTTCAAGCGATTCTTCTGTCTCAGTCTCCTGAGTAATTGGGATTACAGGTGGCTGCCACTACACCTGGCTAATTTTTTTGGTATTTTTAGTAGAGATAGGGTTTCACCATGTTGGCCAGGCTGATCTCGAACTCCGATCTCAGGTGATCTGCCTGCTTTGGCCCCCCAAAGTGCTGGGATTACAGGCATGAGCCACCGCACCTGGCCCGTTTTGTTTTTTCTCTCTTTTTTTTTTTTCTTCGAGATGGAGTTTCGCTCTTGTTACCCAGGCTGGAGTGCAATGGTGCGATCTCGGCTCACCGCAACCTCCGCCTCCTGGGTTCAGGCAATTCTCCTGCCTCAGCCTCCTGAGTAGCTGGGATTACAGGCACGTGCCACCATGCCCAGCTAATTTTTTGTATTTTTAGTAGAGACGGGGTTTCACCGTGTTGACCAGGATGGTCTCGATCTGTTGACCTCGTGATCCACCCGCCTCGGCCTCCCAAAGTGCTGGGATTACAGGCTTGAGCCACCGCGCCCGGCTTCGTTTTGTTTTTTGAAACAGGGTTTTGCTCTGTTACCAAGGCTGGAGTGCAGTGGTGTGATCATAGTTCACTGCAGCCTCAACTTCCTGGGCTCAAGCCATCCTCCTACCTCACTCAGCCTCCATAGTAGCTGGGACTGTAGGCATGCAACCACACCTGGCTAATTTTTTTTTTTTTTTTATTGAGAGGCAAGAGTCTCACTATGTTGCCCAGGCTGGTCTTGAACTCCTGGCCTCAAGCAATCCTCCTGCCTCAGCCTCCTAAAGTGCTGAAATTACAGGCATGAGCCACCACTCCAGGCAAGGGTCTCTGTCTTTATGATCCACTAATAGGACATATCTTTCCTCTCCATTCAGTAAGGGTTTGTTTCTTTTTTTTTTGCAACTTTGTATGTATTTTTTTATTGTGGTAAACTATACATAACATAAAAGTTTGCCACTTAAACCAGGATTGCTGTACCATTCAGTATCAGTAAGTACATTCACAGTGTTGCATAACCATCACCTTTGGAGACGGAGTCTTGCTCAGTAGCCCAGGCTGGAGTGCAGTGGCGCAATCTGGGCTCACTGCAACCTCCGCCTCCTGGGTCCCAGTTCAAGCAATTCTCCTGCTTCAGCCTCCCAAGTAGCTGGGATTACAGGAATGAGCCACCACGACTGGCTGATTTTTTGTATTTTTAGTAGAGATGGGGTTCAAGAGAGTTGGCCAGACTGCTCTTGAACTCCTGACCTCATGATCCACCCGCCTTGGCCTCCCAAGTGCTAGGATTACAGGCATGAGCCACTGCACCCAGCCTATCTAGAATATTTTCATCATTCCAAAAGGAAACCTCATACCATAGCAGTCCCTCTCCATTGTCCTTCCATCCATCCCTGGCAACCAATCTGCTTCTATCTTTTTAGGTTTTCCTGTTCTGGGCATTTCATACCAACGGGATCATACACTATGCGGTGGCCTTTTGTGTCTGGCCCCTCTCACTCAGCATCATGTTTTCAGGGTTCATCCACGTCATAGCATGGATCAGTGCTTCCTTTCTTTTTTTTTTTTTTCTTTGAGACGGAGTCTCACTCTGTTGCCCAGGCTGGAGTGCAATGGCGCAATCTCGGCTCACGCTAACCTCCGCCTCCCAGGTTCAACCGATTCTCATGCCTCTGCCTCCCAAGTAGTTGGGATGACAGGCATGCACTACCATGCCCAGCTAATTTTTGTATTTTTTGTAGAGACGGGGTTTTGCCATGTTGCCCAGGCTGGTCTGGAACTCCTGGGCTCAAGTGATCTGCTGGCCTCCACTTCCCAAAGTGCTAGGATTACAGACGTGAGCTACAGCGCCCGGCCTTTCACACCTATTTTTAATTCTTTGAGGGTAGATAGCTAGGAATGGAATTGCCGGGTCAGATGGTCATCCTGTTTTACTTACTGAGGAACTGAGAATTTATTTTTGTTTTTATTTTTATTTTATTTATTTATTTGAGACAGAATTTCACTGTCACCCAGGCTGGAATGCAATGGCTCGATCTTGGCTCACTGCAACCTTCACCTCCCGGGTTCAAGCAATTCTCCAGCCTCAGCCTCCTGAGTAGCTGGGATTCCGCGAGCACACCACCATGCCCGACTAATTTTTGTATCTTTAGTAGAGATGGGCTTCACCATGTTGGCCAGGATGGTCTGGAACTCCTGACCTTGTGATCCGCCTGCCTTGGCCTCCCAAAGTGCTGGGGTTAGAGGCTTGAGCCACCATGCCTGGCCCTGAGGATTTATTTTTGATTGGAGTCCTAGAATATGCCTAATTCAGTTCTCTCCCAGGACCTTTGTTGCTGCCACTCCTTCTGTCTGGAATGCTCTTCCTATACTTCTTCCTATAGGTGATTTCTCCGCTCCCCTTCCCTCCTTTCTTGAGACGGAGTCCCCTTTCTTCTTGAGACGGAGTAGACAGAGTGTTGCTCTGTTGCCCAGGCCGCAGTGCAGTGGCACTGTCTTGACTCACCGCAACCTCTGTCTCCTGGGTTAAGGCAGTTCTCCCTCAGCCTCCCGAGTAGCTGGGATTACAGGCGTGTGCTACCACACCAGCTAATTTTTGCTTTTTTGTTTTTTTTAGAGTCGGGGTTTCACCATGTTGGCCAGGATGGTCTCAATCTCCTGACCTCGTGATCCACCCACCTCGGCCTCCCAAAGTGCTGGAATTACAGGCGTGAGCCACCGTGCCCAGTTCCTGTAACTGATGTCTTTGACTTCTTAAGATCTTGGTGGTGTCACCTTGGGGAGGCCCTCCTGTTACCGCCTCATCTAAGAATGACTCAGTCCTGGTGCTCCCTTCTTTCTGTCCTCTGCGACCTGCTTTTAAATACTTTTTGTGTGTGTATGTGTGATGGAGTTTTGCTCTTGTCGCCTAGGCTGGAGTGCAATGGCACAATCTTGGCTCACTGCAACCTCCGCCTGCCAGGTTCAAGCGATTCTTCTGCCTCAACCTCCCCAGTAGCTGGGCTTACAGGCGTCTGCAACCACTCCCAGCTAATTTTGTGTTTTTAGTAGAAATGGTGTTTAGCCATGTTGGTCAGGCTGGTCTCAAACTCCTGACCTCAAGCGATTCGCCTACCTTGGCCTCCCAAAATACTGGGATTACAGGTGTGAGCCACTGTGCCCGGCCTTAAGTTCTTTTGAACTTATTTCCACTTGAAGTTTCTTATTATTTCTCTGCCTGATGCACCTACTTGACCCTGGACTCCCTAGAGGGCAAAAACTATGTCTTGTTTGCCCAGAACACTGCTAGGCAGGGAGGAAAGAGATGCACGCTGGGTATTCAAGAGAGTAGAGTGAGTGAATGGTGGAGCCCCAGGCTCTGCCTTTTATAGCTCCAAGACCCAAGGGAGATACCAAAGGCAGTGGCATGATGGCTCATGCCTGTAATCCCAGCACTTTGGGAGGCTGAGGCACAAGAGTCTCTTGAACCTAGGAAATGGAAGTTGCAGTGAGCCGAGATCGTGCCATTGCACTTCAGCCTGGGTGACAGAGCAAGACTTCGTCTCAAAAAAAAAAAAAAAAGGTCGGGCATGGTGGCTCACACCTGTAATCCCACCAGCGCTTTGGGAGGCCGAGGCGGGCGGATCACGAGGTCAGGAGTTTGAGACCAGCCTGACCAACATGGTGATACTCATCTCTACTAAAAATACAAAAATTATCCGGGCGTGGTGGCGGGCACCTGTAATTCCAGCTACTCGGGAGGCTGAGGGAGGAGAATCACTTGAACCCACAAGGCAGAGGTTGCAGTGAGCTGAGATCGCACCACTGCACTTCAGCCTGGGTGACAGAGCAAGACTCTGTCTCAAAACAACAACAACAAAAAAATGGATGGGCTTCTGTCCTGAAGCGCCAGAGACATCGACCCAGGGGAAACTGAGGCCTGTCGTGTCTCTCCCAGCAGGCGGCTCCCTGAAGCACTCCACCACTCTCACGAACCGGCAGCGGGGGAACGAAGTGTCAGCTCTGCCGGCCACCCTAGACTGTGAGTGGGCCCACGGTCCCCAACAAGGAGAGGAGTAGGAGGGTGGGAGGGCCTGTGAGGAGCAATCGTGGACAGAGGGTAAACCGAGGCACAGAGAAGCGAGGGGATGAGTGAGGACTCTGCCTCTGTCCTGCCCCAGCCCTGTCCATCCACCAGCTCGCAGCGCAGGGGGAGCTGGACCAGCTGAAGGAGCATCTGCGGAAAGGTGCGTGTCACACGCGTGTGCTGGCATGTCCGTGCCTGGCTGGTGTGTGCATATGGGTGTCCGTGCCCATCCATGACACTCACATGACCTGTGAGTGTCCACGTGCGCCTGTATCTACCTGTGTGTGTGAACGTGTCCATGTATGTCCATCAACGTATGCTCCCCTGCCGTTCCCCTGTCTAACCCCAGCCCCCTACCTCGTCCCCTTCGGCAGCCCTGGGGATAGGGGGCAGGGATGCAGGCTGGTTGGTACCACCTGCCCCTTCCCGCCAGGTGACAACCTCGTCAACAAGCCGGACGAGCGCGGCTTCACCCCTCTCATCTGGGCCTCGGCCTTTGGAGAGATCGAGACCGTTCGTTTCCTGCTGGAGTGGGTGCGTCCCAGCCCAGCTTGGGGGTTCCTGGGGACATTAGGGTGGGCTGTGGTCTTGGCTATGTCTGCTGGTGCCTTGTCTTTGAGATGTGGCTGCTGGCCGGGCGCAGTGGCTCACACCTGTAATCCCAGCACTTTGAGAGGCAGAGACGGGCAGATCACTTGAGGTCAGGAGTTCGAGACCAGCCCAGCCAGCATATGAAACCATCTCTGGCCGGGCGCAGTGGCTTACACCTGTAATCCCAGCACTTTGGGAGGCCGAGACGGGCAGATCACGAAGTCAGGAGATAGAGACTATCCTAGCTAACACGGTGAAAACCCGTTTCTACTAAAAATACAAAAAATTAGCAGGGCATGGTGGTGGGCACCTGTAGTCCCAGCTACTCGGGAGGCTGAGGCAGGAGAATCGCGTGCACCCAGGAGGCAGAGGTTGCGGTGAGCCGAGATTGTGCCACTGCACTCCATCCTGGGCAACAGAACAAGACTCCATCTCAAAAAAAAAAAAAAAAAAAAAAAGATGTAGCTGTCATGGATACCCCAGGATTCCTGGTTATGTCCCAGCCCATCCCACCACTACCCCCATCCCTGCAGGGTGCTGACCCCCACATTTTGGCCAAAGAGCGAGAGAGCGCCCTGTCGCTGGCCAGCACGGGCGGTTACACAGACATCGTGGGACTGCTGCTGGAGCGGGACGTGGACATCAACATCTACGATTGGGTGAGGGACTGCCAGCCCCGGGCGCCTCTCAGCCTCCTGGCCTCCATTCCTGCCTCAAACGTTCACAGATCACCTGAAAGGTGCAGGCCTGCGCTGCATGCCGAGAATATGAGACAGCCCCATTCCTGGCCTCACAGAGCTCCCAGTGCGGGGAAGGCAGGCATGGACGCAGGCAGCTCAGATGCAGTGAAGTGCGCTGTGACGGCAGGTGCACAGGCAGCTTCAGGAGCCCAGTGTGGCCAAGGGAAGTCAAAGAGGGCTTCCTGGAGGAAGGTGTCTAAGCTTGAGACCCCAAGAAGTGAGATGGGCCCAGTGATGAGCAGGAGGAGGAACCATATTAAATTGGAGGCCAGAGAGAGTACAAGGCATTGTGAGAATCAGGAAGAGGTAAATTTTGGTTTCTCCTGCTCCTACCCACGACAGAATGGAGGGACGCCACTGCTGTACGCCGTGCGTGGGAACCACGTGAAATGTGTTGAGGCCTTGCTGGGTGAGTGGGAGTCAGGACTGGCCCTGGGGCCCCAGCGATCCAGCGGGCCCTGTGGGAATCCTGAGGGCAGGGAGACACCCAGGTGTTGCTGGAATGTTTTTGAGATGGGTGGTCACTGCCTGCTCTTCTTGGAGGGTGGATCAGAGGGGAGGAGGTGGGAGGACCGCCCAGGATTCGGGGTGTGGGTCTAAGACCTGGCCAAGAGGCTGAGCACCTCCACCCTCCACGGCTCAGAGACTCTTCAGCCACGTTCTTCAGTGGAGACCGAGATAGCAGAGGTTGGATTCTTGTCAAAGGCCACATGGGCAGACCCACTGCTGCACTGTGGCGAATGAGGGGTGCCACGCAATCTTCCAGGTCCCCAGTCGTCATTCTGGATTCCTAGGCCCCACCCTCCAGCGCCCTCCCCTCTGCCTTGCAGCCCGAGGTGCTGACCTCACCACTGAAGCCGACTCTGGCTACACCCCGATGGACCTTGCTGTGGCCCTGGGATACCGGAAAGGTCGGCCTGAGACACACGGAGGAGCGATGGGGTCCCTCCCATAGGCAGGGTGACCATAAAGGGGTACACGGGACACCCCCCCAGTGGTCAGACGCCAGCCGGGAGAGTGTTCGCATTAGCAGGTGTTGAGCACTGCAGTGTGTCCCGCCTGGGCACATCCCAGTCCTGGCTCTTGGGGCTCCACGTGTGCTGGGGTAGAGAGGACAGTGCGGGGGTCAGTGGCTGGGGCCATCATGGGGGACACACAGGCACAGAGAGGCCCAAAGAGGGGCCTCATCAAAGAGCCCCAAAGTGGCCAACAGAAGTCAGGGAGGGCTTCCTGGAGGAAGGTGTCTAAGCTTGAGACCCCAAGAAGTGAGATGGGTCCAGCCTTGGGAATGGGGGGTCAGGGAAGGATTCTGGGGGACCTGAAGGGAGGGAGGATGGCATCCAGGTGGGAGGAGGCCCCTGCAGAGGCCTGGCCGTGAGGACACCAAGGGGCAGGCGGCCAGGGCACAGTGCACAGGGCCGCAGAGGCCGCCCCTCTCCATGACGGGCAGTGGGTTTGCACAGGGGCCATAGGCAGACCCAGTGTGACTCCATTGCCTCTGTCACAACGGGACTCAACTTTCCCATCCATAAAATCGGGAAATCCCAACTGAACCGACCCCCTGGGGTCATGGTGGCGATAAAGGGCTTCAGAAGGGTCCCCTCCTTCCTTTGGAGTTTTACTGTTGGAAGTCATTCCTCGTGCCTCCTGTTGTTTTGCGTGGGGTTTGTTTTTGTTTTTTGTTTTTGCTCTGTCGCGCAGGCTGGAATGAGGTGGTGCAGTCACAGCCCACTGCAGCCTTGACCTCCCAGGCTCAAGTGATCCTCCCACTACAGCCTCCCGGGTAGCTGGGACCACAGGCATTCACTACCATGCCTGGCTCTTTTTTTTTGAGACGATGTCTTGCTCTGTTGCCCAGGCTGGAGTGCAGTGGCACGATCTTGGCTCACCACAACCTCTGCCTCCCGGGTTCAAGGGATTCTCCTGCCTCAGCCTCCCGAGTATCTGGGATTATATACAGGCGCACACCACCATGCATGCCTGGCTAATTTTTTGTTGTTGCTGTTTTGGAAGAGACAGGGTCTTGCTATGTTGCCCAGGCTGGCCTCAAACTCCTGGCTCAAGCGATCCTTCTGCCTCAGCCTCCTGAGTAGCTGGGACTATAGGCACGCACCACTCTACCTGGATAATTTTTAAAATCTTTTTATTTTGTTTTATTTATGTTTTGAGACAGAGTCTAGCTCTGTCACGCAGGCTGGAGTGCAGTGGCATGAACTCAGCTCACTGCAACCTCTGCCTCCCAGGCAAACAATTCTCCTGCCTCAGCCTCCCATTCAGATTACAGGCGCCTGCCACCACACCCAGCTCATGTTTGTAGTTTTAGTAAAGACAGGGTTTCACCATGTTGGCCAGGCTGGTCTTTCCTGACTTCAAGTGATCTACCCACCTTGGCCTCCCGAAGTGCTGGGATTACAGGCATGAGCCACTGAGCCCAGCCTAATTTTTATTTTTATTTATTTATTTTTTTTTTGGTAGAGACAGGGTTTTGCTATGTTGACCAAGCTGGCCTCAAATTCCTGAGCTCAAGCAGTCCTCCCCCATCGGCCTCCCAAAGTGCTGGGATTACAGGTGTGAGCCGCCATGCCCAGGCTCACCTTTTCATAAAAGTTACAATTCACACATTTTGCTTGGTAGGAAATATTTTTATAATAGTAGTTCTGAAAAGCCACGAAAGTGCATTTTTACAAACTTAGGGGAAGGTGAGTTTCCTGGGATGGGGCCTCCTTCCTCCCAGCTTTGCTTTGTAATGCTGGCCTCCCTGTTTGTCCCCTAAGGGGAGAGTGCAGGTTGGCCCACACCTCCGCACCCCTCCCAATTCAAGGTCACAGCCCACCTTTTCCCTGCCCCATCTCAGTGCAACAGGTGATCGAGAACCACATCCTCAAGCTCTTCCAGAGCAACCTGGTGCCCGCTGACCCTGAGTGAAGGCCGCCCGCGGGGGACTCAGACACTCAGGGAACGAAACGGTTGGCCAGAGCTGGGAAAACTCAGAACTGGCTTCAATGGCAGCTCCTGGACAGGCGGTGGGAGGGGACCCTTCCTAAGAGGAACCAATAAACCTTCTGTGCAAAACTTGAGGGACTTTGCTGTGCTTCCTGGAGGACTTCCCGGAGGAGGCAGCCCCCGGAGGTGTCAAACCTTCTCCCCGAGCACCCGCAGGTGGTAGATGACCACACGGCCAAAAAAGTCAGTGGCATCCTCAAACGTCACCTTCAGCCGGTCCACCTCAGCAACTGGTATGGGGAAGGTGTGAGCGTGGGCAGTCAAGGGCAACAGGCGATTTCTGGTTTCCCACCCAGAGGCCCCCACCCCTCCAGACCCAGCTCGGACTCCACCGATGTGGTGGGTAACCTGAGGAAGCTGCAGGCCCCTCTAAGCCTCTCTCACAGAACAGGTGGTCATCAGCCCCATTGTACAGATAAAGTGATGGAGGCCTAGAGTCACATGTTCAGGGTCATACATCGGGGTTCCCATTCAGGTTTGGGTGAGTCCCAAGCTTCCAGAGGCACAGACCACCCCACCCCAGAAGCGGGAGCAGGATATCTGAAGCGAGTTGTTGTCCTCAGGGTAGAAATCTACAATCTTGCGAAGGGCCTGACTGCCCTGTGAACCTGCAGCAGAGACAGGCACTAAGTGTCTGGGGTGACCCCTGGAAGCCCCACCACCCAGAGCCTCCTAGTACCTTCCAGGCAGCCCCGGCGACTGGAGAAGCCACCCTGAAACTGGATCTGCAGCTGGGAGACACGGATGAGCTGGGGAAACTCCAGTGTCACCCACTGGGAGGGGCCCTGGAAGCAGACAGGGAAACTGAGGCACAAGCTCACTGCAGGCACAGATCCCTGCTATGCCTGTCTCATTCACAGAGTCTTTGGAGGGGGCAGTACCGGAGGAGAGGGAAATTCGGCACATGTTCCTTTCCTGGCCACCCATGAGGGCCCCCAGACATTCTCAAGGCATCCCGGACCCCTGAATCTGAGTCACCCCAGAGACCACCGAGGGTCGAGGGAGGCGCCTCACCTGGTCCGAGTTCCAACATGTCTCCTCGTTCTGGTCGAAAAGATGTTTTTTTCCAAACTGCCGGGTGTTGCGATTCAGCACCGAACTCACCCTGGAGGCACCAGGATCAGGGCGAAAACAAGAGGCTGAGCCCAGCTCTCAGCGTCGCAGAGGGTTCGACCCCAGGCTTAGGGCCTCACCACGGCCTGTCCCCACAGACTCTTACCTGCTCACTGTCTCTGCACAAACCAAAGAGTGGGTCATGTCGCTTCCACAAGACCTCGCAGGGCTTGGATTTGGTACAGCCTTGGTTCAAATCTCGGCTCCTCCTCAAGCCACAGTGGGGGCGATCTTGGCCACGCCTTGGCCTGCAAGTCCTCACCAATAACTTAGGACCAGAACCGCCACTCCCTCGCCCGCCCCAGTCCTAAATGTCGCCTCAATCAATACCCTGCCGGAAAATTTGAGACAGTGGATCAGAGAAACCGCCAATGACCGGAGGTCAGGCCTTTCACAGGAAATAGATTTCCCACGGTTTTGGGGGGCGGTGGCTTTTTGTGCGAGCCTCTTTCTCTGCGAACAGCCCTTGGAGCCAACTCTTGGGACCCGGAACCGCGTGGGCTTGACGCATGCGTATTGTAATTGAGGCCCCGACTGCGTTGCTCTTGGGGCGGGGCTTGATTCGACCCCGCCCCTTCATCACCGCGTCTTAAAGGGCCCGGGTTCAATGATTGAATTTCCCTTGGTTCCCTTGAAGCTGTAGGGAAAAGGCTGGCTGCGCGCGGGGCGCTGTCCCTGGGCGTCTGAAGGTGTAGAGCACTGATTTTGACTGATTTTTGAATGAGAGAGACTTCTTTTTTTATTTTTTTTGAGACAGGGTGTCACTCTGTCGCCCAGGCTGGAATACAGTGGTGCGATCTCGGTTCACTGCGACCTCTGCTTCCCAGGCTCCAGCAATCCTCCTACCTCAGCATCCCGAATAGTTGGAATTGGGAAGTGCGCGCCACCACCGCCGGCTATTTTTTTTTTTTTTTTTTGGTAAACATGAGGTTTCGCCATGTTGCCCAGACTGGTCTCGAACTCCAGCCATCAGCCCACCTCAGCCTCCCAAAGTGCTGGGATTACAGGCGTGAGTCACCGCGCCTGGCCAGAGACACTTCCTATGACGATGTCCTTCCCACTCCGAGAAGTCAGCTGCATCTATTCCCTAACTGCCAAATGCAGCCTGAGAATCCCTGAACTTCACTGCCTCCCGGAGGCCAAAGGCAGAGTTGTGGAAAGGGCCTCCATGTTGGGAGTATCGGAAGTCCTCATCAACCCCTGTGTTCTTGTTGGGACAGAGGAGCCCTGGCCTCCAAGTTTGTCTTTCCCAGAAAATGCTGCTGGGACATCAAGGAAGGCTTCTTGGAGGAGGGAGCACACGAGATGGGTGTTTGTTTGCTTGGTTTTGGGGACGGAGTCTCGCTCTGTTCCCCAGGCCGGAGTGCAGTGGGGCGATCTCAGCTCACCACAACTTCCACCTCCTGGGTTCAAGGGATTCTCCTGCCTCAGCCTTGTAAGGTCTGACCGTGCCATGGACGGCATGTGACCCCTGTGATGCACACACACACCTCTGGAGGGACTTCAGGAATTAGAAAACCTGAAGTAACTGGAAAGTGGAGGGACCATCAACCCCTGCGGTGCCTAACTAACCTGACACATTCCCCTCTTTTTTTTTTTTTTTTTTTGAGACGGAGTTTCGCTCTTGTTACCCAGGCTGGAGTGCAATGGCACGATCTCGGCTCACCGCAACCTCCGCCTCCCGGGTTCAGGCAATTCTCCTGCCTCAGCCTCCTGAGTAGCTGGGATTACAGGCACGCACCACCATGCCCAGCTAATTTTTTTTTGTATTTTTAGTAGAGACGGGGTTTCACCATGTTGACCAGGATGGTCTCGATCTCTTGACCTCGTGATCCACCCGCCTCGGCCTCCCAAAGTGCTGGGATTACAGGCTTGAGCCACCGCGCCCGGCCCACATTCCCCTCTTGTTTCTTATTCCGGCCTCAATTGACAAGGCCATTGGACTTTATAACCGTAAGGGACCTTGGTCAACCTTGTGACTCCAGATCCTATGACCCTCTCTCAGCTTGCAAACCCATGGCCCCCTCCCAGCTTGCAAAAAACCACCCTAAACTAACTTCCTACTGCTGACCCCAAACCTATAAAACCAACTCCTATTCCTTTGCCCTTCTCTGACTCACTTTTCCAACTCGGCCTGCCTGCACCTGGGGAATAAACAGTCATGTTGCTCACACAAAGCCTGTTTTGGGGGTCTCTTCATTCAGAGCACGCGTTTTAACAGCTTCCCGAGTAGCTGGGACTACAGGCACGTGTCACCCCATCCGGCTAATTTTTGTATTTTTTAGTACAGAGGGGGTTTCACTATGTTGGCCAGGCTGGTCTCGAACTCCTGACCTCGTGATCTGCCAGCCTTGGTCTCCCAAAGTGCTGGGATTACAGGGGTGAGCCACGACGCTCAGCCTGCAAGGTGGGTTTTGAAGCATTAACAGGAGTTTTCCAAGCCAGATTACACAAAGCCTCAGATACCAGGCTGCAGATTTGGTTGACTGATTCAATAGACAGCTCCTGCAACCTTTGCTGTCACTCTTATGCCCAGCCCTGTGCTGGATGATGCTGGGGACAGCAAGAGGCCTGAGCTCCAGCCCTGTGCCAGAGGAGCCCTCGATCTGGGCAAGACAGAGATAGACATAGACACTCCTAGCCACGAGGGAGAGACAGGGCTAGAGGAGGAGGGGCTCTACCTGGAGGGCGGGCTTCCTGGGAGAGGGGATATTGGAACTGCACCTTAATAGCGGGTGAGGGGGCCAGGAATTCACAAGGGTGAGAAAATCTGGAGTGGGGAGAGTGCTTAGCATAAGCAAAGACCGAATTGGGTGAAAGATCATGAATTTGAATAAAATATGTGGAGCCACTTCCTGCTGGGCCGGGAGAAGTCGGGAAGGTGTTGGTGAAAGGGCAGGACACCATCCTTTCTGCATGAATGGAGGGTTCCAAGACAGAGCAGCCACTGGCGTCTGCCAAAACCCACCCCAGGCGGAGGGGGGCGGGGGGAGCTGGCGGCGAAAGTGGGTCACCAGCAGAAGGCCTGTCCCTTCAGGCCCTGCCTGCCAGGGCTTTCCACATTTAGATAGTCTGGTGCCATCCAGACCCAACTTCGCTGGTCTCAGGGCTGGGGCTGGAGGTGACGGGAAACCCTAGCCTCAACCTCGCCCCATGGAGGAAGTTAGGAAGAGCAGGGACCCAGGAGAGCTCAGTTCTGGTTCAAATCCTGGCTGGACCACTCATTGGCTGTGTGACCTTAGAAAAGCACCTTGACCTCTGTGAGACTCAGTTTTCTCATCTTTGAAATGGGGGGAATTCTATTAACTGTTGGAGAACTCCGTGGGTTCTTCAGGTTGACACGTAGCAACAGTAGCTGATGTGCACTAGTCCACTGTGTATCTGACTTGAAGCCACGTTTCGTCTCCACCCACTGGCTCCTTAAACTTTCCATGGCTGGTCCCTGTCATTCCCATTTTATAGCCAAGGACACATCAATTTAGCCAAGGACCCCCAGTGAGGATATGCATGGCTCCAGGGCTCTCCACACCACTCCTGGCTTTGGCATGCGGCCTCCTTGCCCACGAGTATGAGGCCAGCTCCATACCCTCTTCCCGCCTCCTCACCCCGCTGGCGCCTGGGCATGAAAGAGCCTCCTGTTTCTCCAGGGAATTAGCAGCTCTGGGATCCCAGCAGGGCAGCCAAAAATGGTCCATTCATTCGCTTGAGTGAGGAGAGACTAGGGGTTCCCACCCCCACGGCAGGGAATGGGGCAGGGAGGGCTCAAAGTCCAAAAGCAGCTCCTCTGGTTCACTTGGGGAAACCGAGGCACAGAAAAGCAAAGTCGTTTGGCCAAGATCACCAAAGGGAACTGGGATGCCAACCCCAGTCTGACTCTCGAGTTCCCCTCACTGGGCTGAGTTCAGCATTTTTCTGGGGAGAAATGGGAGGCTCAGAGAGGGTCAGGGATTTGCTGA